CCGAGGTCGCCCCCGCTGCCCGCTGGCGCGCGCAGAGCCCCACTCGTGACCTCAACAAAAATTAGGCCTCGATCCTCTCAGATTTTTGCTTTAAAATTGATGGAATTCTGAGAACAGGTTCAGCTGTTTCAAGTTTAATTTTAAGCATATACCTTTACATCAACCTGTGCATATCAGGTTCGAAGGGAACTAATTCTTCATTTACCGATTGAAAAAAAGACGTGGTTTCATTTCAATGGAAATATTACTAATGATACTACGTTTATTCCGATATTACAAGTAAATTTGCGATGCGTGTGAAGAAGAATATTGTAACCAATTTAGGTTCATAGGTAAAAATAAAAGTTAATTCAGTCTTGTGATTTGAACCCCTTGAATCTGGAACTGTATTATTTCTTGGTTGGTTGGTTACTATTTCCAGACGCGTCAACTGCTAAGAGAAGTAGTACATGTTTTTTATGTTAGGATGTGGCGGTAACCTCCCTATGAATGTTGAGATTTGTCGCCGACCTATACGTCGACTAGACTTGGTTTTCCTAACCAGGTATCTCCCAACAGCTGAACACAGACCCAGCCGGGACAGGCTGTAAGCCCCCGACTGGTTTCCCGACTTGTCTGGAGGTGTACTGCATGAAGGTGTAATTGTGTTGAAGAAATGGTTGAGGATAGGACAAGGAAGAGGAAAGAAAGATTGCGCGCGGTCCATGACCCGTTTATTAGGGTACTGATTCGGCATTCACTTGGTGATGATAGGAGAAACCACGCAAAACTACTAATTAGAGCAGCCGGCCGCTAGGGTTTTCCTCCACGCAGAGACTGAATTTGGCCTAACTATTAGCTAGTGTCAAAGATCCAGCTTATATTGTTATATAAAACATCTGATAAACATCGCCCCAACAACAAACCAAACTAATCGCAACACTGTTAAAGAGAATGTGTATCTGTGAAACACCACTGCAGGATGAGTTAACTACACATCAAATGCCACATTTGTATATTCGACTGATTTTCGTCCCCCTGTGTACCGTAGAAGAGATTTAAGTTTATTCTAATCGACTGTGTACCTGACAATAAATGGAACTTAGGATACCGCAATCACTAGGTATAATCGGTCTTATTTACGCACGATACATCTCAAAAACATTGCCACGGCGAAGGCTGAATTAGTTTGGATGAAGCAGCATGATATAGGAATCGTTACTTGAAACGGAATAATATAGCAGATTTCACAGTACTGCAATCCTACCATCAATCTCCGAATTTTTCCTTCATTTTCAATTTTCAGTCTGTTCGCTTGTATTTAGCACAATCATGAACTTGACACATTCACATTCATAAAGAGTAAATTATCGCAATCCATAATTTTACAATAGCACAAATCGTGATAGTTAAATTTTATTTGCGTGGCGGTTCAAAGCGAAAATGACGCGCGTTACAACCACTTGACAGAGCTGCGACTAAATAGATTTCACATCAAAATAAAGAGATATAACGGCATTATCTTGCGTGTAAATAGTGCAATATCAAGCGTGTTTTGTATCGATGGAGTCTGCGCTGTCGACGAGAATGGTACAATTTTCAATTCAACTGCAAAACAAACGAGCTGGGATCTACGCTGGCCTGTGGCAGGGAAAAAGGTGATTTGAGATTGCAGTGTCGGCGGGCGTCGACGCATCGAATTGAATGCGAGGAACAAAGCACAACAACATTGCATCGCTAGAGGGCTTCGCAGATAAAAAAGCCCGAAATAGAAGTGATAGACGTCGGGGTGGGCGTTGTAGTCGTGAGTTTGCAACGGAGAATCTTGCAATGGAGTTAAAACCAATTGAACGGAACCTGAACGTTATCACACCTTCCCTTTAAAAGGTAACTGCCCCTTTGAAACCGTGCCGCAGAGAACAATATCTACACGGGGGAGAGTGAAACAGGTAGCGTTTCTGTATCTGGTAGTAGAGGATTAGAAAGGGTGATGTTGGTGGCGAAATAGGAATACGCGCGACTTATGGGATCGTGGCTAGTCAGGGACGAACGAGACAGGGAGAGTTCTGGAATAGTAGTAGACTGGATCTAACTGGTCATTCACAGGGAATGGGTACGACTTCTGAACTAGCGGTAACTTAGAAACGATTTGGAACATCTACTGGCACAACGGTAACTAGAAATCTGGAATTAGGAAAAGGCACACTGAATTTCTGAAAATAAATGTTAGGAACTTCTAGGAGTTATAGAGAGATACAAAAATAATTACTTTTTGTCAATGAACATGTGCCGGGAAATTGCATGTAACATAGATATTTGCATTTATACACGTGACTTTGCCTATGCTTTTTAAGCAATCTTCAGTTCACAGGTGCCCGTTAGAAACATGAAAACACTTGACTACGTTAGAATGTAACCTGACAAAAATCTATGAACCCAGACTTTTTTAAAAATTAAGCAAAATTATTACATGTATAAAATAATATGACATCGTTATATTCAATTCACCATTATATGTTCATTGGCACGAAGCGTTCAATTTTGACGACTCTACATGTATGTAGAAGATTGTAACATTTATTCTGATCCACCTGGCTATTCCGTTTGTATATGTGGTGATTCCGTGGGGAAGCAATGTTCTGAAATAGACTCATTTATGGTGCGAAGGCTAAGTTTGGGGTTCCTCTGAGTCTATTTTGTAACGGGTACGGGTATCACACCAGCCCTAGGGCTACTTGGAGACGGATCAGTCCACAGGCACAAAGACAGCTAGGCTTTGGAAGGGTGTAGGTGATCCGGCGTAGCTCCGTATGTATGTGTGGCGAGCCAGTGACAACACATTGTTGTAGAGTAGACTCATTAATGTTCCTAGTCTCGTTGTGGGTCCCACTGATTCCATTCTGTAATGGGCAAGAGTCGGAAACGAATGTTTCCTAGCGGCCACATGGCCACGGGTGCGACAAAAGCTTTGGCGCGGAGTTCTCGGGCGCGGGAGGGCAGAGACCTTGAGGAAGGCGGCCTCCGCCGCGCTGTGGATGACGGCGCGCGACGTGGGGCGGCCGGCGCGCACCACCAGCGCGTAGAAGCCCGCCTGCCCGAACAGCTCGCAGCGCAGCGTGGTGGCGCGCCGCCGCGGGTACTCGCGCAGCTGCTCCGCGTACAGCACCTGCGCACACACGCCACGCGCACCTTGGAGCGCCTGCTTGCGCCTGCGCACGCACCGCAAGCGCCTTGGGGCACCTCCAAGAGCACAAGAGCACACAAGTACCTTGGGGCACCTCCAAGAGCACAAGAACACACCACAAGCACCTTGGAGCATCTCCAAGAGCACAAGAGCATACAAGTACCATGGGGCACCTCCAGAAGCACACAAGTACTTTGGGGCACCTCCAAGAGCACAAGACCACACCACAAGCACCTTGGAGCACCTCCAAGAGCACAAGAGCACACAAGTACCATGGGGCACCTCCAAGAGCACACAAGTACTTTGGGGCACCTCCAAGAGCACAAGAACACACAAGTACCTTGGAGCACATTCAAGAGCACAAGAACACACAAGTACCTTGGGGCACATCCAAGAGCGCAAGAACACACAAGTACCTTGGAGCACATCCAAGAGCATACAAACACACAAGTACCTTGGGGCACATCCAAGAGCACACAAACACACAAGTACCTTGGGGCACATCCAAGAGCACACAAACACACAAGTAACTTGGGGCACATCCAAGAGCGCAAGAACACACAAGTACCTTCGGGCGCATCCAAGAGCACAAGAACACGCAAGTACCTCGGGGCACCTCCAAGAACGCACGAACACACAAGTACCTTGGGGCGCATCCAAGAGCACAAGAACGCACCACAAGCACCTTGAGGCACCTCCAAGAGCACAAGAATACACAACAAGAATTTGGAACGAATCTGTAATTTAGTTGGTGTAAATAATAATATTAATAATTATAACAACAATAAACGTAATAATAATTACAGTATATATAAAATATTTTATGAATTCAGTAAGCAATATTAATTGTATTGAAAAGTTTCTAGAAGTAAAATATTGCGGGACACACATAGCCAAATATGACTCAACATTAATGAAAATTCATTCTCCGTCGCTTTAAAGATTCTGGAAAATGACACACCACATTACTTTCGTTAATGGCAGAAAATTGTTCATATTATTTGCGCCACTTCATTGCGAGAAGAAACCGCTCGTAAAATTAAGAGAGAAAAGTAAACAAACACAAACGTTCTTTTCTGCTCTTGAGGGCGAAGTGTTCCCATTCCGGAGACGATCTCTCAATGTCAAGAGCATTCGTCGGAAGAGTCTACAAAAACGTGTGAACGACGCGCATAATTCACAACTTCGCTAAGCGGGAGAATAATTCAGGCGGTGACCTTGCTTTGCTCGACTCTGCGCCGCCATTTTTAAAGGAAATTCGCTCCATTGCTCTGAACCGCAGGGCAAGCCCTTCAGCTCCGGCGTATCGCCATTTTTATTCACTACCCACAAAAAAATTTACTAAAACAGGGTCTGGTACTTCAGCTGCGAAAGCTCTTCACTAATAGTTTGTTCCTAGATGAAAAATTGACTAATTTTCTCGCAAGTACACTATTTCACCTAAATAGTTATTTACGTACAGAAAGTGTGTCTTTGACGTAAGATAGAAATGCTGACGGACGAGGCAACGTTAGAATCCTCATTGGGAATTTGGAAATGAGTACGCCAAAGATAATTTAAATCGTGTTGCGAACATTATTTTTTAGTAAGAATTCATAGAAACTTACAATTATGTACTCTAGGGATAGTTTTGAATATGTGACACCCATGTCGGTTCATGTCGCCCTATTTTGTTTACTTGGCAGAACACGGTTGTTTTATTCGGCCAAGATTTCTTTGTGGCTCGCGTATGATTAAATATATTTTGCCGTGTGCGAACCGCATAGTAACTCTCCAAACAGAAGCGGAGAAAGCTAGTTTCTATTCACGAGTGCTGAGAAGTATTTTAAATAATTTTGCAGATCGTATCCAATGTTCTTTTATTTTTTTATATTTTTACGCTATCATTAAATAACTTAGTGATATAAAACAAACTTTTTGGGACGAATATCTTCTGAAATCTTATCAAATTGGAAGTTTATCAAGAGCAACTAAAAAGAACATTTTTGGCAATGTCTATGCTGTTTTATCTAGTGTGAGAGCCAATGCTCCTTTCGGTAACATTTTTAGAGGGCTGGTTGCATACATACATTTGTCGGGGAAACAATTGCGAACGTTAAGAAATTGTTTACCATGAATAAATTTTAGTACTTGCACTTTCCCATTAATGTTTCATATTTCTAACGGTACAGTATGCACGACACCTAATTAAATGTTCACCTCACAACCAGTTTCATAAATTTCTCTTATATTTCGTAGTCCGTGCTTAATTTTACACAGCCATAGCTATTATACTCTTAATAAAGATGAAAAACATTCACAAACATGTTTTGTTATCAGTGCTCTGAAATACGGAGAAATTAAATTTATATGTAAATGTAGCTATGCCAAGAGATACGAATTTCAGGAGATACAAAAATTGTGCTTCCAATTTTCTGAACGCAATTCATAAAACTAGAAATTTGGCATTTCGTAAGATTGTGAATAAAAATCGATTTTTCTCTAGAAGAATCGAACATTTTGAATTGTTTCACCACATTAAGTGGTCAACATTTTTAAATTAACTTTCTCTGAGAATGTATCACTATGAGCCTTTGTCAGTAAAATAACTATAATTTTTTTAATTAGTAGGATGCACAGAAGATGCTGCAGAAGAGTTCATGCCATTGAGGATATTACCCAGCCTACACAAAATAGCCATAGGTGGGCAACCCAGATTCCACTGAAGGTGGCCATGATTTCCTAACTAGTTACTACAACACATAGGGTAAATGTCTCTCTCACAGAAGAACATACAAATAAAAATTCAAAATTCCAAACTTCGAACAATAAGTATGATCGAATCTAAGTAATTTACAAAATTGAACGCGATTGAGTCGTAACCCTCACTATATAGCATATTTTTAATTTGTCTGCAACAAGTTAAGCGGCTTATCTGAGACACATTGATTTGTCAATCGGACCGACATTAACCCTTACAAAACTAGTTGTTGAGAGGGACATTTTGGTTGGGGTTAGATACTTGTAGATACAGAGAACAGTTGTGGACTGCAGGGCGCATCTCTTAAAGCCGTACATGAAGTGTACATGACTGACAATTTCCCGTCAATTTTCAGTGACAGGTCATTGCGCGTAGTATGGCTGAGTTACATGTTAGCATATTTTTAATGAATAATATTTCTTGGCTCTTAATATTTTGTTCTGTGGGGCTCGTGAGGAGTTCCCATGCTTTAAAGATGGCGGTTACGCTTCTGAACAAACACATTATTATTGATTTTGTAACAATAACAATACATTTTTTCATACTGTCTTCATTAAAAAATAGACAATTTTAAACAAATATAAAATATACTATTATATATACATACATAAAAAAGAAAATAATAGAAAAGTTATTACTAAAATGTTCGATGACATGGCCTTTATTATTAAAAAAATGTTCCTAATCTGACCAAATTCAAAATAAACCGCAACAGTCGTTTCGTTTAATTAATTTATCCATCAATTTATTTGTGGATTTTTAAGTCGAGTTTTCACACGATTATTGTAGTTGACAACACGATTATAACCGAAGCAAAAAATAACTCAAAATAATCAGTGAACCAAAGCAATGGTTATTTATGCACCATGAGCGATATAAGGGCCGAGGTGCAACAAAAAGTCTTCGGGCTAAAAGCCCTGGTTCGTAGATCCAGTTAACACCCACAAGCTCTAATGTCTTGCCTAACTTTCATGATTCATATTTACATTTAATTATCCGTATTTAATTATCATATTATTTTTTAATTAACTAGATGTTACCTTGACTCGTTTTTTTCATATTTCCTTCCCATACTTTACTTCATAAGAGAACATGGAGCATCATTAAACAAACGTATTTCCCTCGTGACCACGATCCTCTCGATCGAGGTACGTTCTGCAGTGTATATGAAGCTCAGAATCGAAGGAGAAAGGAATAACACATCAGTAAAAAACAAAGACCTCTTCGGCCATGAGCGGCTGGTTCTTCCCATCCCTCGGGCAGTTTGCAGGGATTTGCGGAGGCGGCCGCGTGTCCCTTTCAGGGCCGAGTGGCGCGGAGCGATTTGGGAGCGCGACTGGCCCGGGGCAAAAAATGCGCGGCGACGGAGTACGTTTTTGCTGCCTGCGGCGGTGGTGGTGGCGGCGAGCGTGGCGGCAATGGTGGTGGCGGCGCTTGTGACGGCGAAG